TTGCAAGGGAAACGTCACAGAACGGAACGGAGTCATTAGTTATGAGGTGAAAGAAGATTATTAGGGGTTGAAGAAAAAGTGGTGAAACTGAAATACAGTAGGAGTAGAAGCAAAGTATCTTAAAAATGTTGAAATTATCTATAGTAAAGATAAAATTCGTAAGAATCCCGAGTTTTCCGAAAGTAAAATAATACATTATTTGTTTGTGGAATGGCACCAGCCAAAAGATACCTTCATAGGTCCCATCAGGCTAAAAATCTGCCTACTGATTTTATTTTAATCAAGATCATTCCTCTACTAAATATTCTTGTTTTTCAGATGTTGCATAAATTGGCAGAAATTTGATTTTTTTTTCTGTTAGAGAGTGAGGAAGGCGTCTGATGACCAAGTGATATAAATTTAGTTGCTTCTCATAAATATTGAAGAAATTTTCATAGAAACTGAAATTTTAAGCACACGAAATTATTGCAAAAACTGGGGAATTTTAAATATCATTTGAATAGAGAAAATGCCTGCCGGTCACAGACCGTAGAGGAAGTGTTGTTAGAAGGATTTTATTTTTTTTACGTATTTGCACGTATGAAATAATTTTGCATATTTGCAAGACCTTTGCAGTATTGCAAACATACATTTTGGTTTACCCGCAAAATCGGACGCTGGAGGGTGTGGAATAAAGGAGTAGTGGTAGCTTTTTAGGTGTATATAATGGTGAAGGGAAGGAGTATGGTGGGGTCTGCTGGAGGGAGGGTGGGAGTGAGTCGTGAGAAGTATTATTAGTGCGTAAGACGTTTAGATATGAGTAATGGTAAAGGAATTGAGTGGTTTAGAGGGGAGGGAAGAGTACTATCTTGTGTGTGAGGTACAGGTGTTACTCGTCTACTGGTCTTCTTTCCCAGGGGCCCCCAAGGCCTCCTCAGCCGCCATGTCGTGTTAAACTCACCCTTCTCCCTGCACCTTTCTCCCTGGTGTTCATTATACGTCTCCCAATATTCTGCGCTGCTCACTCACCACGTTGTAGTTGTATTACTAAATGTGTGCTTGGCGGGGCAGCAAATTTGGGTAGGTTTCAGTCTTTCTTGAGGCAGGAAAGAATTTCAAACATTTCCGACTGGTTCATGGCTGATGTTATATTATAATATGTGCAGCGGTTTAGCGTCTGCGTTGCATCTATATTTGACGTATCCTTCTCATTCCAATTTCGTTTTATAATGACTTATACTAAATGCGCAGTGATGATTATGAAGTACTGTATACAGTATGGTAAATGTAGTGAAGATTATTATAATTTGGAAAGTGCACAAGGAAGTCCATGTTATGTTAAATGCATGATGAAGATAAATGTATTTTGAATATGACGTAAATAGGAAAAATAGTCCTAGGGGAAACTGCCTTACACATACCGAAAAATATTTTTCTTGTCAGCCAATGACCGATCGTCCGTGATTTTCTTTTCCTACCCAACGAGTCAAGACGTTCAGTACTTTCTCTATGATTGGACGTAGCCTCGATCTTGATTTTCGTTGGCATGTTGTTAGGTGCCAGACTTTTGGTGCTCTTGCTCTCATTGCTATACATTATATTTATTATGAACTTGTTTGTTGCGAACACACTCGCTCTTGGTAGATCACCAGCTGATTGGGTGGGAGTCAACGGTCTTGAGGTACAAGGTTAACGACACACCCAACGTCCTCGCTTCTATATTTAGCTCTGAGATGATGTGTTTGTGTTGCTCATTCATTGTATATTAGTTAACATAATGTGGATCAGAAATGGGCGAATTAGGTGACATTGTTTGGTATACAGCGATGTATTGCTCGTTGTATTAGTTGGTAAAGGAACAAAAACAACCGGTAAAGAGAGGGGAAAACCAGGTGTTGTGGGTTGGTCACAGTTTAGCCTTTGTGAGCTGGCTACCCACCTACACCGAATTTTTTATACCCACGTATACCTCCGGGGGCAGGGAACAGCCACCAGGGAGAAACTATAAGTAATATACCCTTTAAGATGGTGTGGTATTGTGGAGGGTATTGGTACCTAAAATATGGGGGTATTGGTGTTATATCGTAGATTTGATTAAAGAAAGAGATGAAGATAACGTATAGATAGATTTGATGCAATAAAAGAAGACTGACAGCAGCGATGTGGTAAGAGAGGGTTGGGTACATGAGTTAATCGGGAGCTGTTATGTAAACCTGAGGAGCTGGGTATACTATATGTATTTTGGCCATGGCTACACCAGGTGGTTATTGCCTTTGTTGTGGTTTAAACATGGACACAGTAGTGTAACGTGACCTAGTTGAGGTGTTGTTATAGTGACTTACGGAGCGGGGCGATTCCTTGAGCGCCTGTGTTTGCTGGAATTCATGAGGGAGTTTTCATAGTTTGGAAATGTTTCATAGATGTTGTTTATGAGGACCTTCCTTGAATGGACGTGTTAATTAAAGTGTGTATAAACAGGACCTTGCTTTTAGTGGTGTGTCTTCGACCATGTTCACGGGGGACTTTTCCTTATATTGTGGATGTTTCTTATACTGTACGGAGAGTAACTACATTTCTTAAACTTATAAATAATAATAATAATAATAATAATAATTATTATTAACGGTTTATTGAAAGAGCATGGCAGCCGGAAGGCTGAAAATATACAGTTACATAATTGGGGAATGGGTCACTTGATTTACAAATAATATACATGAAACATAAGTGATACAAATATGATATATAATAACTAGGTGGGGAGAAGCTCAAACTATAGGGCATTTCAACATAGTGACCGTGCAAAAAGTAAGATTGACTGGGAGTGAATACACTGGTTGATTACAACTAATTGATAATTTTTACAATGGTTGGGACGGGGCTGTTCTTATAGCGATCAGTTCGTGCTCGTATGGGCTGGATGCGGTTGTGGTGTCGAACAGGAATTCTGACGAGGGATCTCGGGTAGTAGTAGGAGCCGGTGTCGAGGATGGTGCAGAAGCTTCTCACCAAATTAGCAGATGAGGTCGTGGTGATGGTCAGAGAGAGCCGAGAGGGTTTGAACAGTGGGCGTGTCCAAGAGTGGATGTGTTTCTTAGACTGATAATAGGGAATATGTCCAATAACGGTTGTTTCTTAGACGGATAATAGGGAATATGTCCAATAACGGGTGTGTTTCTTAGACTGATAATAGGGAATATGTCTATTAACGGGTGTGTTTCTTAGACTGATAATAGGGAATATGTCCAATAATGGGTGTGCATCTTAGACTGATAATAAGATATGTGTCCAACTGCGGAAGCGTCACTTTGACTGAGTGGGTGTTAAGGGCGAGGAACGTTTCTTACTTAGCTTTGTTGGGAAAGTTCTCCGGGTGGCTTTGTAGAGGATCTTCCCTGGGTCACTGGGTTAGGATGTTAGGGACGTTTTTTCGTGTAGCTCTGTAAGGAGACGTTTTCTGATGGGTGAGTTTATGGGCTTAAGTTTATGCAGGGGATGTGTGGGTCATGTTGTTTAAGATTGATTTTGTATAGCACTGTGGAGGAACATAGGCGGCTAGTGGTTCAGATGACGGTGTTGACAGTTTGTGCCGGTTGGTAGTTGTATTGATGGTGCCATGTAACCACTGTGTGTCTTGTGCTTGTGGTGATAATTTTTTTGTTGCTAATCTGTGTGGGTGGTGGTTGTCATGTGGTGGTAGGGGTGATGATGTGTGGGTGGTGGTTGTCATGTGGTGGTAGGGGTGATGATGTGTGGGTGGTGGTTGTCTTGTGGTGGAAGGGGTGATGGTGTGTGGGTGGTGGTTGTCTTGTGGTGGAAGGGGTGATGGTGTGTGGGTGGTGGTTGTCTTGTGGTGGAAGGGGTGATGGTGTGTGGGTGGTGGTTGTCATGTGGTGTAACTCGTGTTGAGTTATGTGTAGGTCCTGGAGACATTTATTGAAGGTGTTGGTGATCGCAGGAGAGGTGATGTAAGCCTGGGGTGTTTGCCAGGGCTTTGTCTGCCCCGCCTTCTCTAGGGCACGCCGCCCCGTGCGCAACTGTTCACCGCATTATATCGCCAGCCTCACTACGTGTCACACACTCCACTACGCTGACAGTTTACTGCGCTATTGAGTGACTCGTTATCTGACAGCCAAAAGTCTGATCACGTTGTGTTTTTTACTAGTGTTGTGTGTTGTGGTGAGCTTATTAAGTAGATGATGTCGCATAAGAAATTACCTTGTTTGTTAGAACCTCTCAGTCACCGCACTTTGTTACTGCATTGACAAGTGAGAAATATTGGTCCATTTCTTCCATCTTTGGTATTGGTTATGAGTTTTGATTAACGTTTGATGGTGTTTTGTACTTTTTATACAACTCATCTGTGAAAGAAATGTAAAATCATCGTTAATTCTAGTACATTGATAATTACACGCTGGAAGTGAAGACGTCTGGCACTAATATTCTGTATTCAGTGTTACATATTAATTGTCTCATCAGTGAGCTGAGGTAATCTCCCAGATGGTATTCGGATAATTTGTGGGCGTACGCTACCTAGGGATGATGACGTGGGATGAACTTGGTCGAGTGTCACGCGCTACGTTTGGCACTGATTTGTACAGGCAGGTGTGTTGCTAGTGCCACACTTGCACTTCTAGGACCGAGTTGTTACTGGAAAATCTTTCATTGTTTGGTATTCATGGGTGGGTGGCTGTGCTGTGTGACCCAGTGTTCGTTTGTCTACCCTCACCTTGCCAGATCGTTCAGGTGTTTGAGGCACTTGGCGCCTCTTGTATTTTTTTTACTTTTATTTGACTCTGGTTTAGCTTGTTTTAACATCGTAACATAATTTTAGCCAGAATGTTTAGGGTTTAAAAAAAATATTCGTTTGAGTGATTTGTGGAGTAGTTTACCTCTCGTAGTTTACCTGAGTCAAGTTACCGATGTTGTATACACTTTTTTTTTCGTATTAATTTTCTCATAAGATACTCCTGGAATGGTTTTATATAATGATCATACTTATTTAATGATCTATTTTATTTTAGGAGACTTAAATATCAAAACTAAAACTTTAGAAACAAACTAAAGTATTAAGTGCTTTTGGTATAATCTTAATGAAATCATACTTGTGAAGCAGAATCTCAAGCGATCTCAGAAATCTATAATACGGAGTGTTACCTGACTTAAGTGGATTATTTATGCATTGTGATATACTTTAAAATTAAGCGACTGATATTGCAACAAATCAAAACAATAACGTGAAAATCAAAGGATAGTGCTTTGTGTATTTTGAGTGCTCGAGGATTAACAGTGTTTAGAAACAGTGCTAAGTGTTTCTAAGAGTGCCGAGTGATTGTACTTAATACATTATTTGTGGGTGGAACTTTTGGTTTATATTCAATACTAGTGTTGGGGAGAAAGTTTCGTCACCATGTTGCTGTACGCCCGCCGCAAGAAGCTACTGCGTGACGAGCGTGTGCTTCAGCTGGTGCTGCTGTTGAGTCTGCTCCGAGGTGACCCTGACCTTCTACTAGGTCCTGGGGGTAGCTCTCCCCTCGGTGATTTGCCACATGACCTTATCTTGGGGTCGTCCCTGGGTCACGTGCTCCCCTCATCACCCATGACCATTGGCGCCAATCTCCACCCCAAGAGTCTAGATCGCATCCTGGCCGACTACCAGCGCTCAGTTCTGGATGATCTCAATGCCCTGGGCCGCTACACATCTCTCCAGCAGGCACACATTGGTGACGTCCAGGCCTACTTACTCAACTCACACACGTCGCTCCCATCACCGCCCACCGCCGACACACCAGACCATCACCATCAGGGACCCACCTCACCACCCAACCAGCCCAACAATATCTTGCCCGACCCACCACCTTCAGACTACAACCTCTCTGATGACCTCACTCCAGAGGTTAGTTAAACTCAATGCTCATCACTCCTCTCACCCTACCTCGAGGGTAACTTCTTCCCAGGTTTAACACCCACAGCCCAGTTTATACCGACCCAGCTTAGCGTAATACAGCTCTGGAATGTTGTGACATAAATGTAATAATATTCCAGCTAAATAACACTCCCACCTCGACCTGTGTGACCCACTAGTGTGACAAAACGCCTAGGCTTGCCTGGTACACACTCATCTCAGACGACATGCCTTCAGTTTTGTGTGATACATGTTTTTGTGAAACACTTTTATAATTTAGCGATGCTTCCCATAATCTGATTCAGCCTAATAAGTATGACAGTTCTCAAGTTTATTGTTTCATATCCCCAAGGCTCATGTTGATATACTGTACTGTACCCGAGTCTACTTTACCAGTCCCGTAACCTAATTTGATATATCCAGCCTAGTATTACACTCTTCACCCTAGTATGATAAACCCAGCTTGTCACAGCCCTAAAGCTTAATGTGTAACACCAGGTGTAATGTAACACTTCCTCAGCCTATTGTGCTACACCCCAGCCGAGAAATGGCACTTAATCGACGTTTTGGTGTGATATATCCCGACCTAGTATGACACTGACAGCTTAGCCTTAATGTTACCACCTTGACCCTAGTGTGACAAACCGTTGTTGGTGGACGGTAAAGGAAGTGTACTATACTTTAATGTTCAGTAATATGAATGTCGGTATTTATAGTCCAGATAAAAAGTGAATTAGTTGTTACTTTTGGATATGCACATGAATATTTACTTAGTTTGTATTCATATGGGATGTTTTTAATACAATCTTACGACATTCCGGACTAGTTAGAAAATGGATGAACTTTGCAGTACTTAGGTGAGTACTGTAATATAATTATGAACAATTGTACATCAGCGGAGTTCAACACACTTACCATAATAGTGTTTGAAACATGAATTAAGGCATCAATACTTATTTCCAAAATAATTGATCGATTGTTTTTCTGCAGTTTTATTGCATTTTTTTAATGCCAACAGATACCGGTAGGCCTATCCACAAATATTTTATGGTACTTTAATACGGTATATACTGTCAATACTTTTGAAGAAAAATCGAACATTGGCAGACCCTACAAATTTCATGTGGTCTTGAATGAAAGTTACAAAGTTGATGGGCTCTTAGGAAACCAAACGTAGAGCGTAAAAAAGTTGAATTGGCGAAGCAAAACATAGGGCAAGTTAACAGCTTAAACTTAGAATATACCGTGGTATGAACAGCTTTATTGCAAAGGAATAATTATTACTGTTTATTCAGTCATAGGGTTCTACCTGTGATAACACCCAGCATGAATTCATACCCGGTACACACAAACATATACTGTATATCAGTGATGTAATATATATATATATATATATATATATATATATATATATATATATATATATATATATATATATATATATATATATATATATATATCGTTAATGCTCAGTGTCTTAAGAATACACGCTTAAATATCTTACCTTATAAATCTTATTAATGTGTACATCTACATTGTAACACTAACAACTCACGTGAACATCTTGAAGGTCTGTTTATAATGCGTATTAGCTCAATAGGAAATATTTTCCTTGCAAGGAGAGAGCGTTCGATACTGCATATTTAACTGTTCTACGCTACTTGTATTTTTATTGTTTCATATAATGGAAAATGAAAATGCTACTACGATTTTTATAGTTTTTAATTTTAATTGGTGTCAGATGGAATTACAGGTTTGTTGAATCATTTGTTAACGCAACTTATGTAATGGTTGAGTTTATTTGTTAGCCATCCTCGTGTGTGTGTGTGTGAGTGTTACTTCATAACCTGTCGAGGGGATGATAATAATTATATATCATTCACGTGAAGACAATTGCCTTCACGTGATAACTGTCCCCAGTCTAAAATGAGATTGAGGTAAGCTCTTTCAGTTTTAGCCATAATACTTAGATTTGTAGTGTCATGAAAAAATATATATTATATGCGGTATTCTACAGTGTAGAGATGTCATTAATGATAAATTATTAATAGTATGTGAGAGATCAATTGAGTTTAAAGCTTCAGTATCATCGTCTCAGTGGAATAAAAAAGTCGTTTTCTATCATGTGATGCTCGTTTTCTGTTAGTCCAGCTGGTGCAGGACATGTGTGCGTGTATATTATGCTCTCTCCGGGGCCGTAGCTTATATAAATATCCTGACAGCATGACGCAATCCTACTAAACATGACCGTAACGTAAACTTTGTTCAATAATTGTTAGAGAAGTGTAATATTTGTATCTTAGTACAGTACACGTTAGATTAAGTATTCCTCTACATTGTTTGTTACCCCTTTATCAGTCAAGGTTAAATTTTTAGTAGAAAGTTTTCCTGTTTGTCACCGACCGGCCAACCTGGTAGAAGTAACGGTTTTTTCTTTTTATTTTGACATGTTCCATAATATGTTCATCCTTACTTAACCTGTCATTACATTTTACGTGAATTTGACGCTTGTTTTTTATAACATTCCTTCGGGGATGCACGCAGGCTTTACTTTGGGGGGTATCAACACCCTAATATAATAAATGAAATTCACAAAGCAAGAGCGATCGATATCTTCCCCTATTACAAAGTACAGCACTATTGTAGATTCTTTTCCATTACATATCGTGGTCACCAGCATCGTACTATTTGAAATAGCTTTCATGTTAAATGCCAAGCTTTGGCTTAATTCTCATAAAACTAAACCTACAGTGATTTACTTGCATATATATATATATATATATATATATATATATATATATATATATATATATATATATATATATATATATATATATATATATATATATATATATATATATATATATACAGGGTGTCCCATAAGTTTCCATACAACGTATCACCAACGCCATTACAAGCATAACTCCAGCTGTGCTTGAACGTGTTCTTCAGCAGTGGAGGACACGCATTGAAGAGTGTTTTCAACAGAATGGTAGTCATGTAGAGCATATTATATAAATAAAAATGGATTTTCATATAAAATTTATTTTTCCTATGTATGAAAATGTATGGGACACCCTGTATATATATATATATATATATATATATATATATATATATATATATATATATATATATATATATATATATATATATATATATATATATATATATATATATATATGCTCCAGGTATATGCTGATAACCACAAAGAAAAAACACGAAGTTCGTGTTTTCTTTTCCCTATATATATATATATATATATATATATATATACAGAATCATAGACAATATTGAATTAATGTGACATAGTTGGTGGGATAAAGCAGCTGCTGACGGCAAATGGCTGGAGATTAATATACAGGAGGGGGGGGTATTCTTGTTGATAGAGAATATTTTTTATTGTAAACTAGCCAGTATTTTGGGGAGAGGAGGTGGTGAAATGACTGGTTGTTTCATTGCTGCCAACTGTTAATTTGGTTCTAAAACAAGTAAACATATTCTGTACCTGTGCCTTTATTGGAACAAATTTACACGTATTATCTTGTTTACAATATGTACAAAATTAAATAATTAAATAACTCATAATATTTTTTACAAGAACATTGAGCCAAGAATGGCATTGACATTGCATACAGTACACAGATGGATGACATCAAACAGAACAAGATCACATATTCTAGTTTCCACTGCATAAGCTAGAGAAAAAAAAGTAAGGGTCAAGAATTGAGAGAAAGAAACCTAGCCTAGCTGAATGTGCTTAGGCACCATAAAACGTACCCCTCAAACTAACATGACGACAAGTACAGCAGTTGACTTGTCACTGTAACCATGTAGTCATTGAGCCAATTGCCTAATTGCTCAATTGGTGTGGAATGTTACATAAAATAAAATGATTGTATATTATGAAATTTCATATTTTGATTGCTCTAATCTTAGGTAAAATAGATTTCATAAAGTACATTTTTGATTGACAGATACCGTACTTTCTGTAGTTCTGTATAATTGTTGAATATACAGGGAATAAACAATGAATAATGGTAAAGTGTTCCCAGTTGATAAGTGACAAGGGTGAGACAAATATCAGGGGTCCTCTGTACAGCCAGGTAGTAGGCAGCTACCAAACAGGGAGGTACTACCGCCTGGGAAAATATTGGAAGCATAATGTGTTGTCTAATGGTAGACCCTGCTGCCATATGGTATCACGAATATTGTGACCAAGTCCCAGGTTGCTGATCTGTCTTTCTGCCTCATTTACAAACAATTGCAGGATCTCAATTGTTTCTCTTACGATTGCCAACACAACATACTGTACATATAGCGTTTCTCACTAATGATTATTATTTTTTTTCTTTATTATCATTATTACAGTGTTGTTATTATTGTTATTATTATTTTATTTTACTTTTTATTATAAATTTTATTTACTATGAATTACTATTATTATTATTATTATTATTATTATTATTATTATTATTATTAATTTTTCCCTAGGCCCCGATGTGGGTCAGTGACCTGTGCCTGGTGGGCTAATCCCTAAAAAAAAAAAAAAAAAAAAAAAATACTGTAATTTTAGTGATTACTGTATAGATCTTTTTTTATCCACACTTTTGTCAGAATCAGGATCTTTGCTTCACATGACTCCTGCTGCACCATAAATTATGCTAACATTGTACAAAGCTGAGTTCTGTACACTACAGTATTTGAAATTATAGTTACTGTGCTATAAAAATTGAAATTACAGTAATTATATTTTGCAGGATTTGGCTCTGATTGAAGCATTATGGAAGCAAGATGTTGATTTGGGAGTGCCCAGGGAAGTTTATGAAGATGAAGTTGTGGAGACTCTCAATGATGCTCAGACCAAGGACAAGGACCATGGGAAGAAGGTACAGTACTAGTCTACTCTATTGTTTTATTTGATTGGATTTATGTAAGATGACTGTACAGAATGGCTGTCTTTTGTGATAAGAAAATACTGTTTGAATGAAATTTTATGTTGATTAAATAGCATCTTTTATCCTAGTTAATGATTTACTTAATTACTTCCCACAAATAAGTCATATTTTAAAAGAAACATTTTACATTTATGCTAAAGAATTTGTAGTACAGTACTGTTATTCAGTAAGTAAAATTCAATACCTCAGAGATACGAACATGATGAAAGAGGCTGCTAGAGACAGCACAGCTTGGAAATCTGCAATCTGGTACAGCACAGGTACAGTAATCACAGCTAACCCGCAGAAATGTGGAAAATGGCTGCAAAACAGTGGTGGTGGTCAGGGATGATGGAAATTTTTTGCTGGCACAATTAAAGGTGTTTTGAAAAAAGTTGAAGATTTCTTAGGAAACAGAAATGCAGTACAGTACAGTAGATGTCTTCCATGAAAGCCATGTTTAAAGCAAAACAATTTATAGTGAGTGATTATCCCATAGAATAGTGTTATAAAGGGAGGATGTGTTTGTGGGGGCTGATTTTCAGACCTTTAAAGTGAAATTGGGTGCCTGGGCATGACTGCCCATTTGGGACAGTGTGGATACAGCACTGTATACTAAGCCTTCATACACAAGGAGGCAGCATGGCTTGGTACTGCACTTGACCACATTCACTTCCCCAAGTTGTAAACTCAGGTACCCATTTACAGTTGGGTGAACTAGGAGTGCCTGGGGATTGAACCACCGACCCCCTGAAACAGGAGCCGAGAGCTGTATCCAATATCACTGCTGCACTCTTACACACCTTGCACAACCAAAGCTAGTCAAACTAAATACCAAAGACATACTATCAATCTAGCAATACAGAATATTGCAAAATGCATAATGAAACAATTACAGGTACAGACCTTTGAAACTGGTCTCAGAACCAGAGATTTATTGAAAACTAGACATTTTTGTACCTGCTAAGTCTAGTTTTGCTTCCACACACTCTCGCATAAACTCAGATGAATATTAGTTTTACAGTACTTTGTAAATAACAAAGAAGTAAATCATTACAGGTATATGTATAGAAAACTGTACATTAGATAACTCCATTGAATACAGCCTCTTTGGAAGTTGAGATTTCTCTATACTTTACAGTACTAAGCAAGTTACCTGTACTGTATATGGGTTTGTTTACATTCCAGCAACATCGAGTGAATCATAACATTTGTGAGAAGTAATGAGTTCATTAATAATTATTGTCTGATTGATTAAATAGCCCAGTATCTTTTGAAATTTATATTGGGAAAATTAAACCAAAGATTTGAGCCCATTTCATACCAAATGGTTTAAGGTGTGCTTGAAGCTGCTTCATGCAATGTTTACACAGTACCTTATGGAGAAATGAGCACCATCTCTCTTAAGTATGGATGTCCTGTACAGTATGTATATTGTACAATAGTCACCAAAATGTCTGAAAGATATTTTACTTGGCAAAAACAGTGAACATTAGAATGTTGAGAGGTAGCCAGATGGTGGCAGGAATAACTAATAATGAAGTTTTGTCTACTTACTTATATTTATGGTACTAATGCAGCTAACAGTTTTCGATAATTTAAAACAAATATACAGTACCTGTATATGAAAACAATACTGTATACAAGTATACTATTTTTTTTATGAATACAAAATTTTATAGATGTATAACTAAAGTACTGTACAGTACATATACCATAAACATTAGTAAGCAGAAGAAGGGACACCACTGGCTATCATTAGGGAGAAGACAGACAGATGTGATCATTAGTAAGTCTTACAGATGCTATTAAACTAAATTATATGTTCCTGTATCTGTTTGTATGAAGTAATAAACATTTAATGAGAATCTTGATAAAATCACACGGGAAAAGGGAAACAACGGAGCACCTTAGCTTTCGTCTTTATTCAAGACAAAAGCTAAGGTGCTCCGTTGTTTCCCTTTTCCCGTGTGATTTTATCAAGATTTATCTTATCCACGTTTTCATTGTGGATCTACATGACAGATTTAATGAGAATGTTTAATGCATTTTTTAGTTTAGTTTTATCATGTCTTGGGCCACTTTTTTCCCAGTAGGAACACATCTACAGATACAGTATATAATAGTTGTCTGTGGTTTGATAAGTTTCTTTCTACATAATTACTAAACACTTAAAAATTTTCAGGAACACATATTTTATAAAATAAGAGGAAAACTGTTTTGTCTTTTATAAAATGAGGAATTCTAATTTAATTTTAGTTCATTTACATTAACATAATCTTGAATTTAATTTATATTACAGAAAAAACAAACTAATTGGTCTTCTCCACAGACTCACAAGGTTGTTATGGTGCATTGACTAAGGAATTGTATGAGTACTTGTCGGTAATTATAAACTAATGTGTACCTTAATTTGCAGCCAAAGGGTGATACGAAGATTGATGAAAAGGCTGATGACAACTTGTGTTTACACCTCAATTTCACTATTGACTCTGAGACAGGTAGGTGAATATTCATTGATTTTTAAACTACTGTGACAGGTAGGAGAATATTCCATTTCCTTTAAAATGACTGGTGTGTATTATTTTTTCAGCTGTTAGATAATAATTGTTCTTGACATCTTAGGTATTGTATAAAGATCAGGTAATTAGGATAATCTGCTTGAGATGGTTGTAATGTAAGTGGAAAAACTGCATACTTGGGTTAGAGGTTTTATGTCAGGTTTATTTTTGGTGCATCAGCGTCATCATCATTATTATTTTATGACCAGGTTCTTAAACTCTTAATGTCATTTCTTACACCCTCTCCTCATGTTATTCTTGGCTTACCCCTGGCATCTCTTTACCCGAATATTCTCTTCTATTCTATCGTACAATCTTGAATCATCTCATCTTACTTCTAGGGAAAACCTTGTCTTATGGATTTTGTTGAAAACCCCAAGGAAAATAATTTAAAGCTAGAATAAGTTTCATTATATCAAGTAATCCACTGATCTTACAGTCTGTATCTCACTGTCTTCAGCACATGGTGGCTGTAATGAAGAGCAATTAAAATTTTCTTACATTTGCAGTTATAATTTCTTTCTAGTGGCTGTAACATACAGTGGTGGATGAAGTATTGGAAAAAGCTTTGAGTGAAAGTACTAATACTCTGAGAAAACTTATTCATGTAAAAGTAGAAGTACTATTGATAAGTAAAGAGAAAAAACATTTAAGGTTTATAAAATCTCAAGTACAGTACAATACTTGGAGTAAATATACCATCATAATATTGTACACTATATAAACTGAGTGCCAGTACTGTACCATACTCAACAAACTAAATAAATATGATTTATGAGGGAGCTGCTAAGGGCCTGTAGGGAAAAAGGTCCTGATGATGGTGATAATAACAAACTAGGCATAAAGTAAATGATACACAGCATTATTTGCTTAAAGAACCTAAACACCAATAATTATATTGGGTACATATATAGTACCTGTGCTACATTATGAGGATGGTCAATCCATCAATTTATACATAAACAATTTCTGTTCATTGCACAATCTCACACATGCTGTTGATGCTGATAAGTGCATATTTACTCAATACTGATTTATGATTGCTGAGTTTTGATTGTCTGGAAAAATACCACACACTGCTGAAACATCCAGAATGCAGTAATGAGGTAAAGAGAGGCCCAGAAAAATAAGTAACAAATTAAGGGAGCTGTTAATATGTTACTCAAGTAAATGTACTGAGAAGAAAAGTTACTTTCAAGTAACTTATTTGTTAAAAAAAAAAAAAATTGAGCTCGGTAACAAAGTAATTTTACTTTATTACCTTCCACCTCTAGTAATTGAGGTACTCTGCTATGGTGTTTTCCTTCCACCACAAGGTCCTACCCATCAGCAGAATGGCCATACCCATAACCTCACAATACTAGTTTTACTGATCATGCAATCACACCACTGCTTCTTGAATATTTATCCCCTCTTACCCATCACAACATCTACATTCCCACTCAAACAACTGACTCCACACCAGGGTTGCTACGATTTAAATAAATCTATTTTAATACATGAATTACATTAGAGTGAAACAATGATGATTTAAATTATTTTTTTTTTACCAATAATTGAGATTTGTATTTTTCCCTTGAAATTCTTTGCAATAGTATAGCCATATTGGATATTTTACAACTATTTAGGATATACAGGTGGTCCTCGTCATACATTGTACTGATAACTGTCATTTTGCATAATATAAGTACTGTACTGTATGTTGCTAACAAATACGGGTATAGAAATAAAAATTTTAGTGTGCACATACGTCATTTGTTTCATATACTGTATACTTCGTCTGCATCATCCACTGTTTTATACCAAGTCTTTGTGTATCCAAATATAATGCATAAATAGTGTTAAAATCATCTAATATAATATAACTATAACAGTATAAGTAACAAAAGTGCCCCACAAATGTTAAGTTTCTACCACACCATAATACCTGTATGTCCGTCACCTCTCCCACAAGTGCGTACTATGCCACTGTTATGTAAGTAACCACAGAATTTACAGAATAGTCATCTCAATGTGCTAGTGTGCCATATAAATAATTAATTGCTGTATGATATACTGTACAGTATTATAATGTACAAAGGAAAAATTAAGAGAGAAGGGGTATATTCTGTGTGAGGGATGAGTTCAACTGAGAGTAGCACACGGCTTGGCAACACACCGTGACTCGGTAGACTACAGTATTGTACTGTACATATCACCAATGACATTTAAACCACACAGGTGTTCCAACACCAAAAAATGAAAGTTAAGAAACCTTATTCACTTCTTGTACAATGGAAGGTTTGCATGTAAAGAAATGTGAATAAGACAAGTTTGTTCAGATTTATTTCAAGTTCCTTTGGCTAATAATGCCATTGATTAATTGAGATATTGGTAAGCTGTAATCATGTGCTATAATTTATCAGTTTTATGTCAAGTTACATGGATAAAGTGTACCTCTGTCTTAAAAATGTATGATACCCAAATTTTCTTTCATTTAACCCTCAATAAGCTGTAGATGGAGAAAATACAGGTATTGTTACATATTTTTTTTATTCTGGTAAATGATGAAAAAGTTAATAAAATCAACATAAAAAAAAATTGATATAAATAAAAACAATCTATTTTTGGTACATTTTTGTATTCATGATTTTTTCCAACCTCGCTGACACATTCCTTCTCTCTAACACACTGCCAAAATGAGTGCTCTTGAACACATGCATAATTAATCTGCAGACTGAAAATAACATTACACAGACAATCTACACTAATAGATTCCCTAATACTGCCTGTAGAAGTGCTGTCATTGTGTGTCAGCCTGATGTTATTAAAATGAAGAACATAATTAAAATTTAAAACTTGCCATTCAATCTACAAATTGAACTATTTGCCATACTCACAGCCCTGAAACTTGGAGTCATTATCATCCCTGATTCCTTAGCCTCACTACTTGCTCATGACATCCTCAACTCAGTGTGTCACACAATTGTCTCTAAAACCAGACACAAATAAGCATGTATTGGATCCCATCTCACATAGGCCTTAATGAACATGACAGAGTTGATGCCCAAGCTAAACTTGTGTCCAGCAAATACATTACAATTTAGGTCTGGCATCCAGAACCCTTAAAACTATAATCTGGAAGAATTTGCTGATGAATTTGAAGCAAGCAGACAAGTGCAAACAGGCACTTGTCAATCCATTATCTGCTATGATGAGATGTATCAAGTAAAACGTGTATATAGGACAAGTAACAAGATCAGTAGACTATTAGATGTTGTAACTGCTAGAAAAAAGTTGGGATATAAGCTCCTCTGGCAGTATGCCCCCTCACAAATGTGAACAATATGAAATGTAAAGTGTGTAACACACTTGAACACTTCATCTTAGACTGTGAGAAAATAGAACCTTTTAGGGGCAGTCAAGCATATTATGTGCTCACTGGTACAGCATTTTATCTCTGATGGGAAGAGAACTGATGTATGAGAGTGTATCCACAATTTGCACCCATTTCCCATGCCCAAAACTTAAACAATGTACTATATTGGAAATACCCTGTAACATTCACTTCCACAATATCCTAACCCCTAGGGTATATTAAACACATCCTTTTTACCTATGCTCTGTAATCCTTTTTGGGCTACCGTTTACAGGTTGAATATGGGGTTCACAATACATTAGCTGCTGTCTTTAGCAAAATTCATCTCTTCCAATCCATACCCCATCCTTCCTCTCCTCTTTCATATCCCTTCTCTGTTGTACAGATGCCCATAGGCATAGTGTTCCACCCCTCGATGGCCTTTCTGAACATGCTTATCACAAATCTTGAGAAAAAATATTACCGAAATAATATACAGGTATTGTTGGCCACTTGTTCGGAAAGGCCATTGAGAGGTTGAACACTATATCTGTGGGTAACTGTACATGTGTATTATATTATACAGCACACATTTAACCAATTTTCTCTTCCCATTCTCTCAATATGTCCACATGATCTAAGCATATCCTGCTTGACTCCTGGTCTTGCACTTCCTACACTTTCATATATTTTTTTCTTCTTTATAGTCTTTTGTATTCTATTCACCCCACATATTGATCTTTAAAATATGATTCCTTTGCATATATCTTGCCTTTTCTTAGTGTAACTAGAAAGTGTTCTGACTCGTACAATACTGTTGGTTCAGTTATTCCTCTGTAAATCCCCATTTTTACCTCCTTTCACATGGTTTTCTCTGCTCTAATTTAATTTGTCGCTCATTATTTCAGTTTTTAACATAGCTGTGCTCAGGTACATTAATTCCATAATATGATGGAGTAACTTGGTCCAGTTTCCATTGCTTGAGTCCAAATTGCTGTAGAAATCATGTTATATTATCTAACTCGACAATTTTGTGCTGAGAGGCCTTGTTTTTCTGACACTGTCCACTTCCTGACACTCCTAACCTCCCAATTGTTAGTATTTTCTACATGGCCTCATTATCTGCTTTGAAAGGATTAATAATATAAAGTTGAAGATACTTTATGGTAATGTTGTGTTGCTGTACAGTATTCACCTAAAGACTCAAGAAAGTCACAATAAAGTCATATGTGGTAGGTTGTGTCGAGCTTTGTAATAGTAGTTATTGTAGCTGTGTGCCACAACAAGGGTGACTCATACATTCACCATTATCAAGTAACTGCATCTAAAGGATAAAAGGGTTGAGGCCATACAGTTGTTGTTTTCACATAATTAATAAGTACATTATCTAAACATGCAGAAATCCAGTAATTCATATGAATCTGAACATTTACTAAACAAATGCATTATGTGCTGGAAATGCTGATGTCATTTGCATGCGACACTATTTTGATGACAACAAAATGAGGATCACTCAACACTTGACTACTGTGGAAGGGGGTTTGGGGGGGGGGGGTTAGGGTTTTCTATGAATTGTTTTAAGGTTTAAAATGTTATTGCACAT